TTGAAGGTTTCGCCGATGAAGGGAATTATGAGATTCGGGAAGAAGGGCAAGTTGAGCCCAAGGTTTATAGGCCCATTCGAGGTGTTGAAATGAGTTAGGGAGGTTGCTTATGAGCTTGCATTGCCTCCCAGCCTATCGGGAGTTCATACGGTTTTTCACATATCTATGCTCCGGAAGTATCATGCCGACCTATCACATGTGTTAGACTTCAGCACAGTTCAGCTAGATAATAGCTTGGGTTATGAAGAGGAGCCAATTGCCATTGTTGATAAACAGATTCACCAGTTGAGGTCCAAGAGGATTTCTGCAGTAAAAGTCCAGTGGAGGGGCCAACCAATCGATGGAGCGACTTGCGAGGCCGAGGAAAACATACGGAACAGATATCCACACTTATTCAGCACTTCAGGTATAATTCTAAACTCGTTTGAGGACGAACGTTTGTTTAAGAGGTGGAGAATGTGATAACCCAAAATGTCATCTTTAAATTTAATAATTACTTATGTGTTCTAAAACCTCGAAAAGTACTATTTATTATTCCTCGACTTGCGTGCGCAATCCGTAAAGATTTCTGGAAAGTTTTTATGTGAAAAATGGATTAAAATGTGAATTAGAGCTTTAAAACTCAATTGAGTTGACTTTGGTCAACATTTTGAGCAAACAGACTCGGATCAGTGTTTTGACAGTTCCGATAGGTCTGTATCGTGATTTGGGACTCGGGCGTATGCCCGGAATCAAATTCAGAGGTCCCTGTCCGAGATATGAAATTTTGATGAAAACAAATTAAAAGTTTAAGTTCAAATAGTGACCGGATGTCTAATTATATACAAACGACCCCCGAATAGATTTTTGATGATTTCAACACCTCTGTATGTTGATTTTGGACTTAGGAGCGTGATCGAAATTTTATTTGGAAGTCCGTAGTGAAATTAGGCTTGAAATGGCTACAATAGGAATTTAAAGTTTGGAAGTTTGACCGGGGAGTTGACTTTTGATATCGGGGTCAGAATCCAGTTCTGAAAATTTTTATAGCTCCATTATGTCATTTATGACTTGTGCGCAAAATTTGAGATCAATCGGAGTTGATTTGATAGGTTTCGACATCGAAAGTAGAAGTTGGAAATTCTAAGTTTCATTAAGCTTGAATTGGAGCATAATTCGTGGTTTTAGCATCGTTTTAGGTGATTTGAGGGTTCAAATAAGTTCGTATGATGTTTTAAGACTTATTGGTATATTTGGTTGAGGTCTCGAGGGCCTCAGGTGAGTTTCGGATGGTTAACGGATCAAAAGTTGGACTTAAAAAGCTGCTGCAATTTTCCCTTCTGCTGTATATTCTGGGCTGTGATCGAGCCCACGATCGAGGCCTGAGTCGAAGCCAGGGATGAGGCTTAGTATTGAAGCCACGATCGAAGGTCCAGCTCGAGGGCCATGATCTAAGGCAAGGCTCGAGGGCCAGGATCAAGACCCAAGATCGAGGGTCACGATCGAAGTCCCAGGCTCGATGCCATGATCGAGGCCACGATCGAAGTCCCAGGCTCGATGCCATGATCGAGGCCATGATCGAAGTCCCAGGCTCGAGGCCCTGATCGAGGACATGACCAAGTCCCAAGTTCGAGGCCATGATCGAGGCCATGATCGAAGCCCAGGCTCGAGGGCCATGATCGAGACTAAATTCCGAAGGCTGCCTGGGCAGTTTATAAAAAAAAGAACATTCGTCCCATTTGCCATTTTTGACGAACTTGAGCTTGAGCAGGGGCGACTTTTGGAAGATTTTCAAGGGAAAAATATGGGGGTAAGTGATTCTAACTCGGATTTGGTCTACATATACAAGTATATCATTGTTTTCACCATAAATTAGTGTTTTGAGATTTAAATTTGGGAAAATTTTAGAAATCTCATAGAAACAAATTTTTGAGATTTCGGTATCGATTCGGAGTCGAATTTGAGTGAAACTGGTATGGTTGGACTCGTAATTGAATGGGCTGCCGGATTTCGTAACTTTTGCTGGATTCCGATATGTGGGCCCCATGGACGAATTATTAATTAATTTCGGGATTTTATTGAAAATGTAGTATTTTCTTATAGAATTGATTCCTATAAATTTTAGTGATTGTATCGAATTATTTTTGATTAGATTCGAGCCAATCGAAGTTGGTTAATCGAGGAAAAGGCCTACTAGTGGATTAAATTGGAGCAAGACGAGGTAAGTCTCTTGTGTAATCTTGTGAGGGGAAATTAAATCATAGGTGATTAAAATTAAATAATTATTTTTAATTGTGGGGACTACGTGCGCACGAGGTGACGAGAGTCCGTGCGTAACTACTATTAGTGCTAAAGTCCGAGTAGTTTAGGACCCAAAGCATGAATTACTTGTGTAAATTATATTATTTGTTTAATTGATATTATTTGATATATATATCATGAATTGTTAGATAAAAATATTAAAGGATAGAAATCTCATATACTTGATTTTCTGTTTAAATTAATTAATTGTTAAGAGAAATTATTTTTTCTCCTGAATTTATCTTATAATAAATATACTCTCATTCTGGAGGTACATAAGAAAATGTCCTCCTTTCTTGTGGAGCGGGCCGAACGCCTCGGCAGGATAGGTGCATCTATGGATCGTGCCACACGTCCCTCGGTAGTGTACACGAAACTCTGGATCGGGTCGAACGACCTCGACAGAAATCGTGCTTAATAATAATAANTACTAGTGGAGGACCTATCATCACATATCCACGTCATCCCGAGGCATAGTGGTGAGCTGCCTTTATGAGATGTTCTGTAGCTACCAGTATCTCTTCTTATATTTATATTCTGTCTATTTCATTTCAGACAGTATTAGGAGTTTTGTATAATCTATTAGATGCTTATGCACTTGTGACACCGGGTCTTGGCACACACATTGGTAGAATTTGGTATTTTATTATTTTTTTGGATTAAAAGTTTAACCAATGTACGTTTGATTTATCAATTGTCTTGCCTAGCTGTAGTGTTGGGCGCCATCACGACCTATAGGTGAAATTAGGTCGTGACATGGACGGTAGTGCAGCAAATTGTTTGTACACAAAATATGACCCATTGTCACTGATAATCACTTGAGGTGTCCCAAATAGGGTGAAAATGTTCTTCCGTAAGAAATCACACACCACTCGAGCATTATTGGTTTTCTAGTAGGGATTGCTTCGACCCACTTGGAAACGTATTCAACAGCTACTAGTATATACTCATAAGAATTCAACGATGGGAACGGACCCATGAAGTCAATGCCCCAAACGTCAAAAACTTCGCATACCAGAATGAAGTTCAAAGGCATCTTGTTCCTCTTGCTAATATTACCTACCCGTTGACACTAGTCACATGCAGCTACGTACTCTCGTGCGTCTTTGTACAAGGTTGACCAAAAGAAATCAGCTTCCATTACCTTAGCTACAGTGCAATTTCAACCATAGTGTCCTCCAGCTGCTCCATCATGGCAATGAGACAAAATGCTCGCCATCTATCCTTCAAGCACACATATTCGAATCACACCATCTGCACACAATTTAAACAAGAAAGGTTTGTTCCAAAAATAACTTTTTACCTCACCTTGAAGCTTCATTTTCTGATCACGAGAGAGGTCACGTGGTAACTATCCGCTAGCTAAAACATTGGCTAAATCAGCATACCAAGGTGGTCTTTCAGAGACCGCAGGAATGGAGAATATTTGTTCATCAGGGAACTCTTCTCTCACGTCAACTGTTTTAACTGGGGGTATCTCAAGTCGAGATAGATGATCAGAGACTTGATTTTCTGTGGCCTTCCTATATTTGATCTCCAAGTCAAACTCTTGGAGCAACAACACCCACCGCATCAGACGCGGCTTGGACTTCTTTTTACTCAACGGATATTTTAAGGTGAGTGATCTGTGTGTACAGTCACTTTGCTCCCCACTACGTATGATCTAAACTTGTCAAAAGCAAAGACCACAACAAAGAACTCTTTCTCAATAGTGGCATAGTTGACTTGAGCATCATTCAATGTTCTGTTGGCATAGTAAATAGGCCTAAACATTTTATATTTTCTTTTCCCCAGAACTACCCCTACAACTACATCACTGGCATCACACATCATCTCAAATGGATGGCTTCAATTAGGTGTCACCATAATATGATCACTTACCAGCTTTTCCTTTATCAATTCGAATTCTCTTAAGCATTCCACATTGAAAAGAAACTTGGCATCCTTTGCTAGAAATGCAGTTAACGGTTTGGTAATGATGGAGAAGTTTTTGATGAACCTCTTATAGAATCCAGCATGCCCAAAAGACTCTTTATGCCCTCCACAAAAGTTGGTGGAGGGAGCCTAGCATTTACGTCCACCTTGGCTCTGTCAACTTCAATTCCACGTGCAGTTACTTTGTGGCCCAAGACAATTCCTTCTTTCACCATGAAGTGACACTTCTCTCAGTTAAGAACCAAGTGTGTGGCTTCACAACATTCAAGAACGAGCACTAAATTCTTCAAGCAGTCTTCAAAGTCATCACCAAAGAGGATGAAATCATCCATAAATACTTCTAGACACTTCCCATTTAAGTCAGAGAATATAGACATCATGCACCTCTGAAAAGTGGCAGGTGCATTACACAACCCAAATGACATTCTCCTGTAAGCAAAAATACCTGACGGGCACGTGAATGTGGTCTTCTCAACATCTTCTAGGGCAATGAGTATATGATTGTATCCTGAGTACCCATCCAAGAAGCAATAGCATCCATGTCCAGCCACTTTTTCTAACATTTGATCAATAAAGGGGAGTGGGGAGTGGTCCTTCCTTGTTGCATCATTCAACCTTCTATAATCAATGCACATTCTCCACCCAGTGACTGTTCTTGTGGGGATCAATTCATTATCTTCATTTCTCACCACTGTCATGCTGCCCTTATTAGGTACAACTTGTACTGGACTAATCCACTGGCTATCAGAGATGGTAAAATTACTCTCGCATCTAGCAATTTTATGATCTCCTTGTGTACTACCTCCTCCAAATTTTTGTTCAGCTTGCGTTGGGGCTGCAAAACTGGTTTGCTATTTTCTTCCAACATGATTTTGTGCATGCAAATTACTGGACTGATTCCTTGAATATCAGGTATACTCCAGCTAATGGCTTTCTTGTGCTTCTTCAGTAGCTCCACCAGCTGTCGCTCTTGTGTATCTGTCAAGTCAGCAGAAATAATCACAGGAAAATTGTTAATTTCAAGAAAAGCATATTTTAAGTGTGTGGGGAGGATTTTTCAATTCCACATTAGGCTTAGATGCCTCCTCTTTTAATTTCTCCTCATCAACCACTTGATTCTTAGTTTCAAGAGCTTCAACCTCTCTCTCTATTTCAGGATCTCCATCATCCACTGTGCTAGACTTAGTAATGCACATCTCTAGAGTATCTTCTACAAGCTTATCAAACTTGTAATTTTCAGCCAATTCTTCAACCACATCCAGCTTGAAACACGAGTAGGTGAACGCCTCGTCACTGGGTATTTCATTATCCTATTAATCTGAAATATCACTTTTTCACTACCTACTCTGAGCATAAGTTGTCCTTCATAGATATCAAGGATAGCTCTGCCTGTACATAAGAATGGCCTCCCCAGGATAAAAGGCACTTCCTTGTTCACCTCTAAATCCACCACAATAAAGTCTACGAGGAAAACAAATTTGTCCACTTGCACTAGAATATCCTCAATGATTCCCTCAGGAAAAATGGTGGTATGGTCAACCAGTTGTAGAGATACTGGTATTGATTTAATCACTCCAAGCTCACCTTGCAGTTTCCTGAATACAGATAGAGGCATTAGGTTTATAGAGGCACCAGAATTTCAGAGGGCCTTATCGAATTTTCCACTCCCCAACGAGCATGGTATGGTGAAGCTTCCTAGTTTTCCACACTTTTGGGGAATTTTATTTTGTAATATGGCACTGCAGTGGGCATTCAACTTGACCACAATTGTCTCTTCCAGTTTTCTCTTTCTAGATAAGATTTCCTTCAAGAACTTTGCATAAGCAGGCATCTGAGTGAGTACCTCCGTGAAGGGAATGTTCACATAGAGTTTCTTGAGCATTTCCAAGAATCGCCCAAAACATTTGTCAAATTGTTTTCGCTTCATCTTGTGGGGGAATGGCAGAGCTGACATATGTCTACTTTCTTAAATCTCCATTTGTACCCTACTACTCTGACCTTTCTGCTCTTCACCTTTTTTCTCCACTGGTGTCTTCGCCTGATTTCTCACCATCTCGGGTCTAGCTTTCACCACTGGATCAACCAATGTTTTGCCACTTCTCAGAGATATAACTTTGATTGTTTCTTTTGGATTCTTTTCAGTGTCAGAAGACAAAGTCCCAGGAGTCCTCTCAGATAACATATTTGCAATTTGTCCTAATTGACTTTCTAAATTCCGGATGGTCGTGCCATGCTCTCGAATGGCTGTCCCCCGAGTTTTAAATTTTTCATCTGATTTATTGATGAATGCCTTCATGATATCTTCCATACTAGACTGATTTAGTTGTTGTGGTTGGTATTGCTGTCTCTGATGGTTTTGAAAACTTGGTGGTCCTTGACCTTGGGGCCTGGGATTATTTTGCTTCCATGAATTCAAGATTCCACTAGGTGAACTCCACGAAAAAACTGGATGTATTTGACCCATAACATTATAGTTATTACCGCCTTGGTAGTTTCCTCTATTAAAGTTCCCCACTGCGTTGACTTCCTTAGCTGATGCTTGACATTCATGTGTAGGGTATCCCAATCCACATAAGCCACATTTTGTTTGCGGCTCACTTTGTACCTTAGCTAATGTCAGCTTTCTTATCTCCTTAGCCATAGTATCTAACTAGGCTTGCATGGATGTGTTAGGGTCCACCTGGTAAACCCCAATTGATTTTCTTCTATCATTACTCTCAGTCGGCCACTGGTTAGCATCCTCAGATAATTCATCAAGGATTAAGACAACCTCCTTTGGTGTTTTCTTCATTAGTGGACCTCCACATGCAGTATTCAGAGTTCGTCGCGAGGACGGTGTCAGTCCATCCCAAAAATCCTGGAGTTGCATCCACAAATCAATTCAATTGTGCTGACACTTTTTGACTATTTCCTTGAATCATTCCCAAGCTTCAAAAACCATTTTTGTCTCCTTCTGGCAGAAATTATAGATTTCCCTTTTGAACTTTCCTGTTTTTGCAGCCGAAAAGTACTTGTCAAGAAACTTCTTGGTCATATCTTCCCATGTCCTGATAGAACCTGTGGGTAAGCTACGAAGCCATTGCTTTGCGTCATCTTTCAGTGAAGAGGAAATGCCCTTAAGTAGACAACATCCTTTGATACTCCATTGTATTGAAAGGTGTTCATGATATCGTCGAAGTTCATCAAGTGAGTATTAGGATCTTCGTTCATCCTCCCTCTGAAAGTACAGTTGTTATGGATAGTTTGAAGTAAGCCTTACTTCAATTCGAAGTTGTTTGCTTCTATGGGTGGGGGTCTAACACTTGACAGTCCTTGATTATATACGGGCCTGGCATAGTTACCCAATGATCTCCCAGTCCTGGGTGCTGCATTCTCGAACTGATCTTCAACCAAGGTTCGGTTTAGATTGAATCTTCGACCCCCATCATGGTTGACAGTCTTATCAACGATTCTTCGGGCTGCTTCTTGTTGTGCTGCTTCTCGTGCATCTAACTTTACTCCCCCCGTTTTCTCGATTTTCCATGTTATCATGAGTCAAAGGTCGAACCAAGAATTCTTCCATTAAGTCTTTTTCTTTTCTCAGTTGTCGCAGGCGTCTTTCCAGCTCTAGTTCGTAGGGTATCAATTCCATTGAAGAGGATCGCGTCATACACCAAAGAAATCAACCTGTATCCTGCACACAAGTGAGAAACTCGTGATGAACGAATTAAAAGTTAAAAAAAAAAACTAAATTCCTCAATTAGCACTACAAAATATTTCAACACTATTGATTGCCAATCCCCGGCAACGACACTAAAATTTGACGAGCGCAATACACACACTTAAATTGTGCTCGCTAGTCAAAGATAGTATAGTGTATTATCGTATCCACAGGGATTGGATTTAAACAGTCTTCTCGTAGTTTCCAGCTTGATTACTATCCAGGAGGATCAACAATTGAGATTTATATGCCTAAGGATTGAAATTAATTAAGAATCTAAAGCTATTGACTAGTGACTATCGAAACAAAGAATAAACAACTAAGGTTATCAGTAGGAGAAAATAGGGTCTTGACAAGATAGGTGCAAGATAATTATTCGGGATCTAACTCTAGATAATTTATTTTCAACGACCAAGTAAATCTCTCGAATTCACTCTATTATTAGTTCAAACTTTTAGCAAGAACTCCTCTCTCGATTAAGTCTTAACCTCACGATATGAACCAATTTAAGTACTGTGAAGATATGCAAGAATGCGTAGTGAATCGGTCTTTTGAAAAACTTCTTTCGATTATTTTTCTAAGTAGGTTTAATCAATGATTCAACCAGTCTCTTTCGATTACTTAGAAGAATCTATGAAGTTAACGAATAATATAATGCAAAGATATCACAAGGCATGCCTCTTTCGATTACAAGAACAAGTGAATATATATGCAGCAATTAAATCTTTTAAAAACTATTCAAATACATAAAAATAGAGTTATGATCCACAAATAATCATCAATACACAAAATCTAGTCAAAACCCAAAAGGATCTACTCCATAGACATGGAGAAGTTCTTCACAATTGGAACTAAAGTATAGGAAAACATAAATTCAATCCAAACTCGGATCTTGAGTGAGGAAGGAATAATGGATTCCTAGTGCTTGTATTCTTCCAATTCCTATTTTGCCACTATAGATCCAAATTTCCCCCATAAAAGTCCAGATCCCCTGTTTTAATCAAGTTGGGCTTCATATAGATCCAAAAGAGTCATCTCTGAAATTACAAAAATAGGCCTGGGAGGAGTTTCCGGAGTTGGACGTGTGCGACCGCGCACCTTGACCAGTGTACTGCTCTACTTGCACACCCAGTGCGCAATCGTGCACCTGGGTAGCCTCCTGCTCAATTCTTCGTTTCTCTCGTTAAGTGCACTATTGTCCGTTGATCCCCGAACACGATCCAAACTATATCTTTGGGCTTTTACTCACACTTCAAAGCTCCATAATAGTTTGAATTCATTCCATAACATCTACAAAGCATGGAATCACTCCTACAAGACATAAAATGCATAATTAGTGCAAAACACTAGCGATTAAAGCTCAAACTCAATTAAAGTGCAGTAAATTAGAGTGTAATAGGTGATAAAAATACGCAATTATAGCCTACCATTATTAGTATTTGTGACTCGAGCTTAATAATGGTGTTTATATGTGTAAGAGTTAATTGGACGTGATTTGGCAAGCTTGTATGCAAATTGAAGTAAAAAAAAAAAAGAATTTGGAGAGAGTATGACTTTGGTGCCCAGGTTCGCGCCACACAACAACCAAAACACTAAGGCAACAGAGCACAAAAGTGGAAAAAGTTCGGTGAGGTTCGCGCCAGGCACAAAGCAGAATGCCCAAGGGCGGATTTCGTCCTATTTCGGCTAGGACTTGGTAGTTTCAACCATACAGGCCCCCAACATGTATAAAAGGGGTTCTAAACCTATTTTAGGGGAGAGGCATTATTGGAGAAGAAAAAGGCCGCGGGAACACTTGGAAGTAAGGGATCACAAGAGTTTTCTCTCCGTTATTCTTCCTTAATCTATAATTTAATGCTTTCAATTAATATCATGATTCTTAGTGTGGTTATGAGTAGCTAAACTCTTTTATCTAGGGTTTGATGGAACCTTTTGGAGGATGATTTTCTGTTGCGTTTAATTTAATTTTGCCATTGAATTTTATCTACTTGTTCAACTACGTGATTATCTTAGTTGATTGAAGGGCCCTTAATTGACTGTCTTGAGATCTTTTTTTTTTATTCTCCGGCATGTGCCTATTTAGTGTGTGTTACTTAGAAAATGGTACATATTTAGGTAGTTATTGAACAACATCACTCCTACCGTATGTGAGAAATCAATACGAAGGGTTTAAAGATGAGATTAGGAATAACAAAACCTTAGTGCAATTTTAGTGAGCGGTGCCAGCTAGCGTAGTTCGGAAGAATACATCTAGTAAATTGTGGTAGTTGCTCGAAAGAGAATTACGACACCCGAAGTACTCACGATCGGTAGAAAATACTTAAGCGAATTTATAGAAAATGTAGCGGGGATGATTCCGATAATTGGGGAAATCATAACTCTAGGCTTCCTTAATCTTGTCTCCAACCCTTTAGTTACTCTAGTTGTTAATTTACTACTTTAATTTGCTAGTTATTTAGTTAGAAAATAAAATCTTAATATTTATAGTTTAGAAATTGTTCGAGCTTGTTTTCTTAGTGATACTTAACAGTTACAGCAAAATCTTAGTTCTCTGTGGGATTCGATTCGAACTCTTAGACCGAATTATATTTGCATCGATCGTTTAGTCCTTTTTATAAGGCATAATTGAGCATGATCAATAACTATCATTCTAAGAAAAAAAAAGAAAAAACTAAAAGAATTTTAGACTTTTGCTGTTTTTCTTTTTTCACCATCTGTTAAAATACATTATTATGTTGTTCCTACTAATTTGCTAAAACTTTTACAGATTAAATTACAACATTAATATTAAATAACCAATAACGAAACATAGATAACTAATTAATGATTTAATAAAAATTTGGAAAACATTTAAATTTTCTTTAGTACTATTTGAAATTACTCAATTATTATCTTTTGTTGCATCAAAAAACTTCATTATTAGCAAATCGTCTCATATTTATTTTTGTCGTTAATATAACTTCAGATTTACCATTTATAATTTACAGTTATTCTTTGTGAGATACGTTGTGCAAATTATATTAACAGTCAAGTTAACTACGTGTGACTTATAAGTTACGATTTTGAGCCGTGGAATTAGCCACTAATGCTTGTATCGGGTAGATTGCCTATATTATATCTTTTTGGATTTGGCTTTTGCCCAATATTGTGTGAACGCGTGGTACTTTGTTCAGCGGGCTGCTTTTATGCTGTGACAAGTTTAAAGACAAAAACGAAACTTTTTGTTAATTGTAGGTAATATTAGATCGATTACC